TGTGATCAACACGACAGATCAGGAAGAGGTAGGTCCTATTCCTTTTTCTTGAGTTTAGGTGGGAATAAATTGAATGAAACTGACTAGAATCTCCACATTAATCATTACGATGCGTGAAGAAAAGCCCCGTCCAATCGTGCAATGTTGTCAGCCGGGTCGGAATTTTCCTATGTGGCTGCAATTTATCCGAACAAAAAAAGACAACATTTTTTATCGTTAACTCCCCTCCTCCCCTCCAATGATGACACCCTTTTGTGCAGGGCTGGAAAGAATTTTATTTTTAGAGAAGCCGATGAAACTAGTAAAAAAATAAATAAATAACCAAACAAACAATAACAACAACAAATAAGAAACAACAACAACAGGTTAAAAAAATTAAGAGAGATCTTTTCCTTCAACTTAGCAGCGGTCAATAGTGCTGCTTGTGAAAACTGCAAATACTTTGCTTTTGTAAACAAGTTTAGATTTTTCTAGGCAAACACATGTACATAACTTAAAGAAAATGAAGACTAAATCAGAACTAGTGTCAAGCTGATGTGGGGTTAAACTTAAGAGGAATACAAAGAAATCATAAGATGGTCAATGGTACAGGTGCCTTAAAAATTGGAAGCCTCGTGCAATTTTTGTCCAATCTTGTCAACTTTTGCTATGAGTTTTGAAATGATTATTTTTACACTGCATGTAGTGCCTTTCATTGTAGTTCTCAAATTCAGTATTTGCATTCATAGCTGAGGTTTATGGATGAAAGGCACAGTGATAGCTGAAGTAACAGTCACAAATAGCATTACACCAGATGGCCAAGACTAATTGAAAAAAAATTACTAATTACTAATAGTTTGCAGCAGCAGATATTGGGTTATCATGTCAAGTTTCAAGTCTGCCTAGTTTCCAAGCCCCTCATCCATGTGGTGCTATAAAACTTTTGTAAACTCAGAGAGAAGCACTTCTTTTACAGATTATTTAAAAGAAATCTAGAATTTGGTTTTTACATAATGTGAATTATCAAACCTTGTGTCACTGTTGTCTGCCTCAGTGTTCAGCTTTGGCTCGTAATTCAGACCTTTGCATTGATAATTAGTGATATCATGCTCAACCTCATCCAATAACTGCTTATTGTTTGCAGGACTATATTCTTGATGAACTTAAGTCTTCAGATGTTCCACTGCCAAAAGTTATCACCACTGAATTCACCTCTTCAGAGAGGTATGTTTCAGAGTCTGTCACGTTCCTGCTGCCAAATCTACTACACAAATATAAATGCTATTATTGGTCAACGAGGGCTTTTCAATTCCCACGGCTTTCATTTTCAACTATTGATGTTGAAAACTGGTGCACTTGTATTGTTAAAAAGCGAACATGTTTCAAACAACAGCTAGTGTAAGCTTTGAATATAAGTATATTTGCACTGAAACGTAACCTATTTTATATTGAAAATTTGGACTTCTGGCCGGGGGGAAGCAGAAGGAAAGGGTGTGGAGGGGGGGGGGTGCTCACCAGAGAACTGAACTTA